CAGCCAGCCCTGCTCCCCCCCCAATCCCCTCCCAGCCAGCCCTGCTCCCCTCCCAGCTGGGTTCCCCCCACCCCTGATCTGAGATCAAGCGTGTCTGGTATTTTTTTCAAACCATCTGGTAACCCTAGTTAACCCTAGAAATCATTTTCAGTAGTATTTTCATATTTTTTTTATCCATGCTCTCCTGCAATACTCAGCAAAAAAATAGTAGCCAGAAATATAAAAATTCGAACTCTTAATGCCTGCTTTCTACTGCGTGTTTTGTGATATCTTCTACAAAAGGTTTATATTTCTGTTTGTACAGTGAGTAAAAGGATGGCCAGGGTATGACAAGTTTTTCCCTCTACCTCAGCTTTTTTGCACAAAGGAGATGTAAGAAGTCTAGTCAGACTTAGTGATTACCTACATAATTGTAATATCCTTCTATGAAGTACACTTCCTTAAGTTTGTTCATATCACTCAGCTTAATTTAATCTTTTGCTGCTGTTGCAAATTCTAATATTGGCAGTTTGGCTAATCATCTACTTTTGTGTCCCATTTCACATTTTTGCAGAAGACTATTTCAGGGTAACTGGCAGTTTCTTGATTTCTGAGTCTGCCTATAGATGTGGATATGGGGGAGACACTGCTCTAGTTTTGATATCCTACTTATAGATGAGTATATGTTGTCTGTGTTGATTCTTTTACATGTCAGTTGGCTGCGAGATTTTGTTGAATCATTTGCGCATTACTGGTGAAGATGGATGGGTCTGCACTTGTCAGGGTCACCTCTTGTGTACATTGTATATTTGAGGCTGTTAAGAAACTTAGTGAGGAGACATGTTCAGTTTCATGGGACTTCCACCAGGCAAGCTAATTCAAACTGGCTTCAAGGAACTAGGTTTGCGGATCTATAGATCTTATCCACTTCACAAGTATATGTAAGGCATTACACACAGCAAATATTTTTTTCCATTTTGTAGGCAGGCATGTCAAAGACAGGGCTAGGCCAGGAGATGCCTCATTCCTTCTTCATTGTGGAAGAGAGCTCTATGGTTACTTTCATTGTCACACCTAGAAACCCCATGCAGGGTTGTAGCTCTATTGTGTTCAGCTCTGAACAAACAGCAAAAGTCAAAATTCAAATTCCAAAGAGGCAGCAGTGAACCCTATACATCATAACTCACCAGCCCTTCTGTCCACCTTCCTCATATCTTCAGCTGCTTTTATACTTCCCTCCTGCCCCCTTTTAAATACAGAATGTGGGATTTGCAGGGAAAGTTGCCAGACAGGTAAAGCTGGTCAGTATGCTACAGGAGACACTTCTCCCTCTGACAAAGCTCCTATGGCTTACCAGAGAGGAGGCCTGATCTGATTAATCTTACCATGTTTGCCAACTTGGATTATCACTGTAACCCAGGCCTGGGCAAAATACGGCTGCGGGCAACATCCGGCCCACCAAGCCACCAGATCCAGCCCATGGAGGCAGCAGGGATCCCCAGGCAGGCTCCCCAGCTTGCCCTACATGCCAGGCAGAAACACAGCTTCAGGGCTCCCTTTCTGTTTTAAAACTGGAAGGGAGGGGGGAAGTTTTAGGAGCCGTCCCACCCCCAGCACATTCCCATTGGCCGGTTTCTGGCAGAAACCAGCCAATGCGAGCTGCTTGTTGGAGTAAGAGCCAGCCAAGAAGATCCACGCCCCCTGTCCTCCACTCAGTTATTCATGAAGCACGTGGCCAGGCAGGCTGGGAAACATTTTAAGTCTGCAGGCAGGCTGGCTAGTTTAAGAGCTGGCAGGTTAAGTCTCTTGGCCACAGCCTTCTTCTGGCACCTCAGCCCTTTCCTGCCCTAACTCTCTGCCCTTCCCCCCCCCCCCCCACCCCCACACCCCAACCTTCCCTCCCCCCCCCCCCACACTCAACATACCCAAACTCTCTGTCCCCCATCTTACACCTGTACCCCCTCCCAGATCTGGGAACCCAATCTCCTGCCCCAAATCACAATCCCCTCCTACCCTAGGTCACATCCCAAAACCCTGCACTCCAGTCCCCTGCCCTAGGTCACAACAGCCTGCTTCATCCCAACTCTCTCCCAGATCCCAGTCTTCTTCCCTTACCCCCAAGCTCCCTTCTGCACCTAACCCCCGTCCCAGACCTCGCATCTCCTCCATTAATATCATGGAAGAGTGCGGCCCTCAACCACTTTCCAAAATCTTAGAGTGCTCCCCCATCAAAAATTATTGCCCACTCCTGCTATAAACCTTTAACATGTAAGAGAAAGTTGGAGGGTGGCATAAAGGCAGTTAAGTTGATGGGCTGCCAACAGCTTTTTTTGAGAACCAGGGAAGCAGTCAGATCAATAGGATAAGTGAGTCATGGAGAGAAGATGATGAAGGCTGGGGAGTGAGTCTGAGTGACAGAATCAGGGAGGAGAAGTTGTGAAGCAGAAATAATTGGTGGACATATCAAATGTTGTCTTGTATTTTCGCTCACAAATTACCATCTTTAATGTTTCAGTAGGTCGGTGCCCTGTGAAAAATGTTTGTGACTTTGGAACTGTTAGAGGAGGCTGAAAAAGCAGTAGTGATTTTAAAACAGTTGCCTTCTCGTTGGTGTTTAGAACAGAGTGAGATGGTCTTGTTGTTAAGCCTCTGGACTGAGACTCAGAGAAGATCTCATGATGGAAAGCAATCTAGTTGGGAATTATTTTCTTCAAATTTTGGAAGTTGAAGACAGGCTGTGATAATAAAGTATTTGATTTCTATAAATTGAGAAATCTGTTCAGTGTCTGTCTTATAGGATATGAAAGTGACAAAAGTCTTAGGACATCTAGACAGGCTTCTAGGGAGTGCTGGGGAGCAATCTGTTGTTATGGTACATATTAGTACCAGTAATCCAAGGAGGTCTTGGAAGTCTAAATTTAGATTGCTAAGAAGAAAGCTTCAGGTCCAGAGCTTCCGTGATAGCTTTCTCTGAAATGCTTCCATTTCCATATGTGAAGCTAGCTGGACAAGGGAATTTCAATGTCTCAATAAATGGATAAAACAAGGATTTAAAGTAGAGGTGGGGAACCTTTTTTGGGCTGCTGACCCACAGAAAAATCAGTCATGAGCTACACACAAGTGAGAACCAAAAATAAAAAGCCCTCCCTGACATGGCCACTAAGTAAGAAGGAGAAAGACACTCCCTACATTCCCCTTGCACACCAGATCCTATGCAGGCCAGTCTAGTAGATTTTGTGTGTTCCAGCTCCATGGTGGGGCAGTGGGGAGCCTGAAGCATCAGTGCAGACTCCCCAATGCTGGGGGGGGGGAAGCCCTGAGTCCCATGGATTGGATATAGGCAAGTTGGGGGCTGCATCCGGCCCCTTGGCCTTAGGTTCCCCACCAATAATTTAAAGAGGAGAGTTTCAGGAATTAAGGGTACATTGAGTACCTATTTTAAAAAGGCACGGAGAGATTTAATTAAACTAACTTTACTAAAGTAGAACCGAACCTCTGGTGCACACAATGAATAAAGTTTTGGAGACTTGTTTATACTAGGAGCTTAGGAAAAGCTGATCGCTGCCACGGACATCTGTTAGGAATATCCGTAATACAAATGTATCTAACAAAGGTTAGGGCAGAGAGAACAATCAACCTACAGCAAGGACAGGTTGAGATCACAGAAGTAAATTCTGTTCAAATCAACAAGGACTTAGACTAGGGATTCTAATAAAAATAGGCATATGATCAATAATTTTCTATAAGCATGTGTATATATAATAAATGCAAGAAGCTTAAAATAAAATACATGAAATAGAATGCCTGGCAGTAGAAAAAAGCCTTAACACTTCAGATAACCATTTATATGTGGAATGACAGAAAATTAACAGGAAACTGTCATACCTGATTTTAAACTATATAAAAAATATAAATCAGGTTAAAGAGGTGGGGGAAGTTGCATTATATCCAAATCTGGGGATATATTTGGTTTTGAGGGAACTGCATTGTAATATCTGTACAGATAAAAATTCCAAATCTTAAGAATACAAATATTTTAGTAGGGTTATGCTGTACACGCACAAGGGGGAAAAACACAGTCTAAGTATAAAGCAAGAGACAGAAGATGGAAGTGGATGGAAAGCTACAAGGAGATAAACTATTGCTCAGTATGTCAAGCAGTGGTATCAGCACACCAGCAACTTAACTGTTGTCAGGCTTTTCGTGGGCATGGCACAGGAGAGTTGTAATGACAGATTTTGAAGGAAAACAATAATATGGCTTTGCAGATGTTTTCAAGGAGTTCTTCACAAGCATGAGGGGCAGCACAAGAGAAAGCATGATTGTGCTTGTCTAAAAATGTGTAAGTGAGCATTGAAGAATCATGGACCAACTGGAAGTAGGCCTTGCAATATCAATAGTGAATGCAAAATGGTAGTTAGAGTGGAGATAAGTCATTAAATGCCTTGAAAGTGAAAACAAATTGCTTATGTTTGAGCTCATAGAGAAATGGGAGCTAATGTAGAGATGCAATGAGAGAGATGAGGTAGACAGAGTCATGGACCAGGAAAATTATCTTTGCAGCAGAAGGCTGTATTTTTAAAGATCAGAAAAAAAGATGTTGCCTTAATTGAGATATGAGATAATGAGATCCTGGACTACAGTTTTAGTTGTGTGGATGAATAGGATGGGCCATGTCTTAGAGTTGTTCTGCAGAAAGACTGTAAGATTTAGATGTAGCTTCAATGTGAAAATTTAGAGAGATTAGTGTCAAAGGTGAAGCCTCACTTATGGTCTTGAGTGATGGATAGAATGAGAGCCATATTCACAGTGATCAAGAAAAGTAGTAGGAGAATGGGTTTGTGGAGGAAAGAGAGAAGAATAATGAAAGGAATGAATGAATGCAAAGAAAATCAGGAGATGTGGGTTTAATGAGTCAAATGGAAAGGTTTGTGATGGAGAGCAGATGAGAAAATTGTGTGTCTATGAGAGGAAAGAGTTGTAAGAGGGAAAGGAGGATGAGAAAGCAAGATGGGGTAGAGAGAAGATCACATTGTATTTTGTCATTTTCACTTGGAAAAAATTGGTGAAATTATGTAAGGAGAGAGAGGTAGAGGTAGGAAATATGGAAACATTTGAGGAGTGAGTAAAATATGGTAAAAACATGGCTTGGATTGCATGGGTTCCAGTAAATTTTGAGAAGTAGATTTGTAACAAGAATGGTGGTAGAACTGAATGAAAAGAAAATAAATTTATTGTAGAGGAATTCAGCCTAATTACAGGATTAGGCTCCACAGGTTGATAGCAGGAGAGGAAGAAGTGGATGTTGGGCTGTAGAGTTGGGTTCTGCAAATGAAAAGTATGATCTGCTGATCTACTAGAATTCTTTGAACAAGCCAGTGCAGTAGTCGATGAACAAGACTCAGTCGACATAACTTATTCTGGCTTTCAAAAAGTCTTTGACTAAATACTTAGTAAAAAACTATTGAAAAAACTAAGTACAGGCAGTCCCCGAGTTACGCGGATCCGACTTATGGAGTTGGGTTCTGCAAATGAAAAGTATGATCTGCTGATCTACTAGAATTCTTTGAACAAGCCAGTGCAGTAGTCGATGAACAAGACTCAGTCGACATAACTTATTCTGGCTTTCAAAAAGTCTTTGACTAAATACTTAGTAAAAAACTATTGAAAAAACTAAGTACAGGCAGTCCCCGAGTTACGCGGATCCGACTTATGCAGTTACGAACGGGGCCCTTCCTCTCCCTGGTCTCCAGCAGACCAGGGAGAGGAAGCAAAGCGGCGGAACACGCGGGCAGCGGACAGGGCT